TTTTTATGCGTTTTTGCCGTGCAGCGCTAGGGCGCTGCAGTAGGCAGCGAAAACGCCTACTGCGACTATCCTGATTGTGTGCGTATGTTTTTGCGTGTGTGTGTGTGTTCGTCTGTCCGAGTGTTTGTATTCAGCACCCATGCGACCTTTGAAGCTGAAATTTTGCCACTGTGTTCTCTGGCCAAATGCGGCCCTGGGGCGTGACATCTACTTCTCACGTACGGGCATGTGAAAATTTTAGCGTGAAAACTGCTAACTCGGGAACGAGAAAAGATAGAAGGCTGAAACTTCAAGGAAATGTCCCTACTCATGTATGACCAAAAATTTTCAAATTTCAGTCCCTTAGAACCGCACAGGACTCATGTGCGGACGTATGAGGATTTTGACAAGAAAACTGTTGACCCGAAAGTGGTAAAAACGGGAATTTTAATGAAATGTTCCCTACTCATGTAGGACTAAAAGATTTCAGATTCAGCTCTTCTAGTGGGTTTTTTTTTTTTTTTTTCGCGCACCAACAACTTTCCATTTGTCAGGTCACTGAAGGCAACATCTACAACTGGCATATCACATAACTGCACAATTAACTTTCTGAACTTCGAGGGCCAGTACGTCACTAATTCTAGCTAGTGTGATATCCGGTATTGCCACAACACGAAACAGTACAAAAACACATGATCGCACCAGCCTGCCTCGTGCATTCTAGCCTGGATTATTTCGCTGTACGGTATAATGGTACATCATGCTTCTTCAGACGCATAAAACGTTCATTTTTTAATGAATATATTCTCGGCTTACTCGAAATAACAGGTTGTTCGGAGTCGACAGTTGTCAAAAAGACAGAGTGTGCTAAATCCCCAATGTTTGCTCTGCATTAGTTTATAATGTTCGTCAAAGTCTTTCAAGCTGAGGTTACTCGTTTTATTCTTTTGTGCGATTATTACTTTCCCAAAAAGCATGACGGGAAGTCGCGTTGTACTGTAATGGATTTTTGAAATGCTAGATAATGACCGCCACAGCACGTTTTTTTAACGTATTGGCTTAGAACGCTAGATGAGCTAAGGAAAAAAACTTGCTTCTTCAAGGCAGAGTAGTTAAGGAAGGAGAGATAGGGTACTGGATCCGAGGAGGAAGAATGATACGGAAATAGAATTGGAAGGTTTTGCGAGTGATCTTTTAAATTACGACAATTCTCTTAGTGTATTTTCGGCTGTCGAAACTGAAAAAACCGTGATAGAAGGGATGTCAAAAACAGCTGGGAGGTATTGGTTTCTCCTGAGAATAACGAAAGTGGGAATGGAATTGTATCTGAGAGGCGACGGAGAGCAAATTATGAGATAGACGCTTTATGAGCTAAAGCGTGTAATTTCTGTGGAGAAACGTACTATTTGAAACTCGCGTTTTTTTCGATCAGAAAGTTAACCAGCAAAGTGAGAATTTTGATAAGCGTGTTATTTTTTCGAAACCTATTCACAGCATATCATAAGTATTCTCAGCTTCTTGATGCATTGATCAGCTGCAGTTCAACACCGTTCTCCATTTATGCAGCTGACAATTTTTCCTGTCGCTTTTATTAGTACTGCATTGCCTGG